CCCCCTGCCACAGGGAGCCAGGCTAGGGAAAGCCGCCTCCTCATGTTCAGCTCCTGCCCTTCTGGATTTTAAATTGCCATTCAATTATTGGGATTTCCCTCAGCGCAGGGGTGGCCCAGGGATCAGCCCTCCGTTGCTCCCTAGTTGGAGAGCTTGCCTGTGGAATTCTTCAGTCATGGGGCTGGAGGAATATCTATACAGTCCAGCTCCCAGGCTGTTTTTCTAACAGAAACTTATTTTGGTAGAAATTAACTTCTGCATGCAGGCCAAGTCTGCAGTCTAGATTCAGATGGTAAACTCCAAGAAATGCAACGAGAGTTTTTACTTTTGTTGTTCAGAGCTAGGATTGTAAAATAAAGCAAAGAAAAGGATAAATGGAAAACAAAAACAAGCAAGCAGAAAAAGAGAGAGACTAGCAAAAGCCCTTTTTTTGTTGCTTCCCCTCATGGAAAATTACTAGGTTGTTCAGAAGCATCTTTCAAGACTTTTCAGTTAGCTTTTCTAATACCAACAAAAAATATAGGATGCTTGAGCAAATTAAAAACAAATCAAGAAGATTCCACTTAGATTAGGGGTGAGCAATGATTTGGGCCTGAGGGCCACATGGGGAGTTTTGACGAGTTGTAATGGGCACCCCTCCACTGCAACAGCTCACCAAAACTCCCTTTGGGGCTGTGGGCAGGTGGGGAGCAGTGTTCAGGAGTGGGAGGGGTGGGCAAAGCTGGGATCACATGCCTCTGCCCTCTGCGGGGTGTGTGTGCGCGCAGTTGGGGGTTGCCTGGGAGCTAGGTCCTAGGAGCCTGCTGTGGGTGAGGTGGGGCAGGGGGCACACGCAGCAGAGCACACCTGGGCAGCAGGGTCTGCGCTGCCCCTGCAGAGGTCCACACTGGGGCGAGCTCCACCCACTTGTACTGGGGCAGCCAATGCCTCACTCCCACCAATACCTGTGGCCCAGCCAGGTGCTGCTCTGTTTCCCCACCTCCAGTGGCAGCTCCTGTTCCTTATCTTGCCTCTGCTGTGCCGCACTGTGCTGCTCCAGGCAAGCAGCTTCAGCTGGGCTCCTGCCCCAGTGCACAGGGCTCCGGCTCCAGCTTCTGGGAAGGTGACCAGGAGCCCCACACACTGGCTTAATTTGCTCAAGTCAGAGCCATGTGCAGTAGGTAGGAGCCACCCAGCTGAAGCTGCTCGCCTGGGGCAGCACACCACAGTAGGGCCAAGATCAGGAGTAGGATCTGCCATTAGAGGCAGGGGTTGCAGAGCAGTGCCTGGTTGGGGTGCCTGCAGGAGCCCGGCTCAGGCTTCCCCAGTGGGAGTGAGCACGGCATGGCCCCCTATGGAGTGCTGCAGGGGCAGCCTCAAGCCAGATGTACGATTAATTGTGACTATTTTTTTTTTAATCACGCAGCTAATCATGATAAAAAGTTTTAATCGTTTGACAATCCTTAAATAAAATTAAAGTATAATAGATGTTTGACTTTTAGTATGTGATTTGGGTTTTTTTCTGGTTCCAAGATAGCAACCCCCTCCTCCCCCCTCCCAACAGGAGTAATTTTGGGGGCAAGGGGAGGGACTTTCTGGTGGCAAAGGTCAGGGGTTAAGGGCAGGACTTCTGGTCCTAAGATGGCAACCAGGGGCAGGGGACCTGTCAAGGGGCGGAGCTACTCTTGCAGCCCTCAGCAGCTCACCAAAATTAAGTGGCCCCCTAGCCAAAATAATTGACCACCCCTGTACTAAGGCTTTACAAATTTTTTTACTTAGATTTTCTTTGTTTTTGTTTTCAACGTGTTTGATCATTTTCAAAAGTGACAACCTTGTTGGGGATTCCTTGATATACCCAGAGATACCACAAGCAGAAATTGAGTTTAAAAAAGTAGTGTGATCTCCCATCACCATTCAGAATATTTAGACTTCCTATCATCATTCAGAGTATTTTATCTATATTAGGTAGGTTTCTGTAAAAATGTAGCTATTATACAACAGAGCTAATTCTGTAAAAAAAAAAAAAAATAATAATAATAATAATAATAAAACAAAATAAATACAAATAACAGTTTGAATGTTTAACCGATCTCTGGTCAGACCTTTCTGACCAAAGTGGTTTTTTACTCCTGTGGTCCAGTGCAGCCACTAGGCCATACACCAACAGCAGAATTTTAGTTATAGAGCACCTATTAACTCTAACTGTACTGATGCTGGCTGTGAGGTGGCAACCACTTCCACCAGGGCCTGACTGTTGCCTTATATTAACTTTGTTAATGTGGTACCTAATCTGCATATTCTGAGTTTTTCTTTCATGTACCTAAAAAACCCCCCCAAAACATGAAAATTCAGCTTTTTTTATTTTGATGCCTCATGAATAAATAGCTATTTAATATGCAGTTATGTCATTTCTGCTCAAATATTACTCTTTTTAAATTTAAAAAATGAGTTGTATTGATGTAGTTAGGTTCTTATTAATACAGCTCATAAATTTGTGAGGAAAAATAGTCTGCTTGCTACAATAATCTGGAAATAGGCCATGAAGCTAATTATTAGAAGAAAAATGTCTAATTTTACTGCAGTTATCACAAAAAGTAAACTTTTAAAAACACTTGCAATGGTTTGTCCTTTATTGTCAAGGAGAGAAACTGATAGCAAAGTCATCTAATAGTTTTCTAGACCATGTTCCACCTCATTACTGAGAATAGTAACAGTCTCTAGAGATATTGCAATTAACATTGAGTTTGGACCCACAGTATTCTGAATAACATCTTTGTGATGAAATGCCCTTCTGCTTTTTAAAATTGTGAGCTCCTCTCTTTGAGAAGTAAGTATAAATGTGTCCTTTACAGCGGTTATGAAATATAGTATGACAGGAATGGTATCAGAGAATTGATTTTTGTAATAAGAAAGAAGTCCTTTTAAGCTTTAGAAAAACACTGTGGTTTTCACAAAATGCATTAGCAAGAATTTCCTGGAATTGAAGAAGCTAGATTTATTTTAATAATATGAAGTAAATACTGCATAATGGTGAAACAAACTCCTGCTAGTAGGGGTAAAAAGTATAGTTTAGCCTAAACTGATCAAATCATCAACACAATTTTTGGGGGGCAGAAGCACCCTGATTAGAGCATCTATATAGGTTTCCTTATTTGTTTTTAATATATCAGTTACCTTGTTGTTGTTGTTGTATATTTTCCCTAAGTTTGTAGCAATATTGTCTTGAGATTGCTGAAGTACTTCACAATCCAGTACCAATGGCTAACCTTGAGATTTTCGAACAAAGGAAGGAGTTGGCAAAAGGAAATTGAGAGGGAGTGATTAAAAATACCTGCAAATTTCAAGTATTTACATATGTAACATAATTATCTATTGTTATATGTTATATATTTTAATTCATACCTAGTTGATAATTTGTTTTAGTCTTCAGAATTATAAATTAATACTTTGACTTATATAGGTCTCATAGTATGTTGGAGTATTTGTCTGCATGGGAATGAAATTTCCAAATGCACTTTTCTGTTTAAAATTCAGTTTTACCAAAACTTACTCTGTAAAAGTAGTATAGTTGGATTATGCATTCGTTGCGTTTCACTGACTTTTCTATAAAATGGGAAGGGCATGTCTAAATAATGTCAGCCCCACAAATGCAAACCTATTAAGGCTAACAGTTGTCACACAGAAGACAATGGGGCAGCACAACCAAACATAGCTGTGGATATAATTTAAGTTGCAAAATTTCCTCTTATGGCAATGAGACATGAAATGTAAAGAGCCAAACTAGCCTCTGAGCCTAGTTTCACTTCTTGGAGCCAGTGTTGACGGGAAATCTTTGTTTTTAATGCAAACTAATTAAGTTTGATATGTAAGCTATTGTGAACATAGAACCCCAAGATGCTAATTTTGCAAATTCACTGTTTAGACCTGCATTTGAGTGGTATGTGAAACTGAGATAAACTGTTAATGTTGTGTATTGCTGCAATGGGACCATCATAACTTTGACTATTGTTAGATGGATTTTCCTCATAGGCTACTGATAGAAAAGGCTGATGTAATCATTTCTGTTGCAGCTACAAAATGGTTTTGAACACATGTGGAGGTGAGGGAACATGTATAATAATAATATTATCTAATAATCTTTTTTCATTGTATTGGCTATTTACTCTTTCATTTGTAATAGGTGGCAAACCAGTCAAAGTGGTTTACGTTGACTCGCCTCTTCCAAAAAAAGAGATGACGATGAGAGAGAAGAACCAAATGTTTCATGAAATTACTCTGAACTTTCTGGTGTCCAAAAAATCATACGCTCCAATGTCCATGGTGTTGATGGATAAGCCGGTTGAGGAAAACATGTTTCAGTGGAATGTATGTAGCTTCATCTGTTATAAGCATATGTTAGCTTACTTTCCTAGATGTACATGATCTGTGGTAATAATAGAAAACCTAGTTTTTTCCCCCAGTTACTGTTTTCTGGACTTGATTTAAACAGGGACCTAGTTTCTTTAAATGCTTCTGCCATACTGTAGTCTCATCACTAAGGCTTATTTTCTTTGATTTATTTACACAAGTGACTTTGTTACACTATATTTTTTACCCTTCCTAGTTTTTAGAAGGCTCTGATGCTTAAAGAGAGATTTCACAATAAATAACTGAAGAGATATCTCGCAGCAAATTCATAATTAAAAATGATGCATACAATTTTTTTTCACATGTTTAAATAATGCCTAGATGGAAAAACATTTTGTGCATCTCTCTTGTTGGATTTAGCACTCTGCTTTATTTTGTGATTTATATATTTTACTACTGATGAATTTTTTTCTCTTCCATTTGAAGATGTCTTCTGATACTTGTGAGGCTAGAAACTTTCAAATTTCGAACCAAATCGATCTGAACTTTGACAATGATTTTACAGAACTGGAAACTTTTGGAGCAACATCTAAGCCCTTGAAGACATCCAAAGCAGAAAGTCCTCATAGTAAACCAGTTGATCCAGGAAAAATTCTGTCAGAAAAGCTGAAAATGGAGAAGCAGTTGGTAAGCAAGTTTGCTGAAGTGGGAAGAAGCAAAATTTATGAGCAGGAATTTTCAGAATGTGGCAATTTACAGAATCCTAATGAGGCACAGCTTCCAGCATGTGACACCACCTGCTCAGATTCTGAAAACAGTACCTTATATAAAGGCTTAGATTTGGATAAAATTGAGTTGCATAATGAGCAACATGGTGTAACCACAGAAGAAGTAGTGGACAGTGATACAAAATTAAATTCCTTGGCTAAACCTGATACTTTCAAGAGAGAATCTGAATCTGCAGAAGCAAATGAAACACTTGTTTGTTTGTGTGGTAGCGACTCGGATGAAGAACGTTTGATTATTGATGTGGAAAGTAAAAATCTTGGTTATTGCAAAGCAGCTGTGCTCTGTTCTAATCCAAATCCTGTAGCAGATAGGCCCAAATCATCTTCTCCCATGCAGCTTCCACCAACAAGCATTGCTATTTCTTCAGAGTCCCAGGATCTGGGGAAAAACACCCCCAAGAAACCTTCAAAAAAGCTGTCTAAAGAATTTGATCCCGTTGGACAGATTTTAAAAATGCAAACTGAACTTCTCAAGCCTCCTTCTCCAAAAGCTCAGGAGCAGCTGCCAGTCAGCATTGATAAAAGTTCTAATCCTACAGCAAACCACATACCACCACCTTTGAAACCATTTGTATTCTCCAGCATGGAGTCTGAGCAGAGCACTACTGCAAATGCAGGCAGCTTGCCTAAGCTTACGTGGACTTCACATTTTCAGGGAGCTCGGAAGGGTAAGAATCTGGTTGGGAAGTCGGCTTGGAAGTAAGGAGCAAAAATTTTAAGAAAAGGCAGCCACAGCAATTGAATTTGGCTCTGTTGAAAACACTAGGAGGAACCAAAGTGTTAATGTTTGGGAGGGGATCTTTTATATGTGAGGAAAAAGTGAAAATCTGTCTAGTTGCATGTGTTGCATAGAAAATGCTTGTAGCATTATTGATACTTGTGGGGAAAATATACAAGAAATATCAGTTGGTTTTTATTTTACTATTGGGAAAACAAACAATTCACTGCCCAACCTTTTGGGCCAAGATGTTTTTTCTTTATGCATCAGGCCACAAAGGAGACTTGGGACTCTAAGTATTGGGTATTATAAATTTGGGTCCAGTAAAAGTCTGCATTATTTATCTTCATAAAAATTAATTGTTTGGGTTTTTTATAACTATGTTAAATAAACAAGGGCTCAGTTCTCTTTTACATAATTGAAAATCAGTCATCTGATTTTTCTATTTGTAGTCTTATGTTTAAAGCAAAATAGGTACAAATGCCTTGTTTTCTGCTTAGCTGTTTTCCCACAGAATTTCAATTTGTAATCTCAGAATCCTGAAAAATCCTTTCCAATTTGGAATGAGATGTGTTAAGTTTAGAAATGCTAAGGAACAGCACATAAGAGATTAGTTGATTTGAAGGACCTGAAATATTTTGCTTTAAAATCTTGAAAAGAAATTATACTCATTTAGTCCTGGCTCCCATGGTCTCTAGGCTTATTATTGCTGTAGTCAGTAGGAGCAAGAATTCCCCAAGAACCACAGCTGAGCCAAGAGCCTCGTAGCTTCAGCAGCAGGACACTCAGCTCTTTGGCAGGGTCATTTAGAACTTCTGAGAGCCCGGTTCAGGCTGGGGCTTTTTGCTTGGCTCTCTTCCACAGGTTTCTCAGATCTGACTCCTGGGCAGATGTTACTGGATTTAATGTTGATCAGCTGGATTTAATGTTGATCACTATATAGATAGTGGTGTTTCATTTTAATCATGGGAAAATGTGGATTTTTGATTCTTTTTTTTTATACATCTGAAGATTTGGATGTTTTGGGTTTTTTTATCAGAGAAAACCAGGATCCCTGCAGATACGTTTCTGTGAAACATCTTGGTCCTAAAGAATGAGCATTTTAAATGAAAACATCTTGGTGGGAATTTTCTAGCCGGAGCTACTTGTTTTGCTAATTAGGAAGAGTCTGTTCTTTTTGTATTGGATATAATTGAAGGATAGTGTTAGTTACTCCTGGTCTATTCAGAGAGTAGGCATGATGGCCTGTGGCCTTTGAGCCAGTCTTTTTAGGGGTTGATTTTGAGCCTTACTAAAATAGAAAGGAGTTACTGTAGCTCTCAAAAGGTAGTGTGATGGACTAAATGAAAGTTAGTTTGGCTCAGTAGTGTTGGCAATAGTATAGGGACTGAAATCTGGGTAAAATGTGTAGTTAAACAGAGACAAAGACTTCAAAGTTTGTTGCCTTGTTTTTTATTTAATATACCTTATTTACTCGAATATAAGACAGGATTTTTTCCCCCAATCAGCATGGAGAGGGGGAAGCCCCTTGTCATTTTACATTTGCATACAAGGAAACTGCATTAAATATATTCCTATCTTTGAACTGCTGCTAAAAGCAGCATGTGCTCAGTAATGGAAACCAACTATGAAGCTGACTAAATGCAGCCAGCACGAGCATGACTGTAAAACACATGGTCCATATGTGGCCAACATGCTGATGGGAACCTATCACAAGGATAGGTTAGTGCAGGAGTGGGCAAAATATGGCCTGTGGGCCAGATCTGACCAGCCAACTGATTGCATCTAGCCCAGGGAAGCCACCAAGTTATGGGATCTGGCCCTGGGGAACCAACAGTTCTGACTGCTGGGTCATGTTGGACATGTCCTGGTCCCTTCCACAGCTTATACCATCTCCCACCCTGCACGCTGGAAGCAGCACCAGGTGGGTGCTGGCTTCAGTTTTGGATATGGCTGGGCAGGTTCTTGGTGGGGATTGGGGTGCCTGCCTGGGTCTGCAGCTGATGCTGCTGCATCAGTGCGTTTGCTGCAGTCCTGGGCAGTCACCCCAATCCCCACTGGGAACTTTCCAGCAGTGTCCCCAGCTGATGCTGCCACACACCTTCTTCCCCCCGCCTCCCCAAATGCTGCTTGCAGCACATGGGGCAGGAGCTGGTGTAAGCTGCAGAAGGGGCCAGACATTGTGGATCAGCTGTAGCTGCAGGGATGGTTCGAGGATGGGAAGCGGGGGAAGAGAGAGGTGGTGTGCTACAGCTTCAGGGACTGTTCAGATGGGGAGGAGAGAGAGAAATCAGAGCGTGCTGTAACTGCGGGGATCATTTGGGCCGAGGCTCGGCAGAACTGTGATCCGCTCCCTGCACACCTCTGCACACAGAACCAGCACCTGTTGTGGGCAGGGAATCATGGCTCCATTCCACACTCAGCCAGAATGGGACCACAGCTGGGATCCAGGGGAGCAGCATCTAGTACTGGAACGGGTGGGCAGGGCCACACTTGGGATCGTGGGACCCCAACCCCACTCTGTCACTGCCCTGTGATCCTGGCCCTGCCTGCCCAGTCCCAAATGCCACTTCCCCAAATCCCAGCCTTGGCCCCACCCCAGGTGAGCACAGAGCAGATCCATAGCCTGCATGATCCTGCAATGGGCACTGGCTCTGCAGGCAGGGACATGCAGGAAGCAAATTGCAGCTCTAGCCCCAGGTCCTGGCCTTATGCCATCACTGCCCCACAATCCTGGGGTCTGCATGGGTACCAAACAGGATCCGCATGGGCAGGTCGCGGGGCCAGGTGGACAGGGTGGGGCCACTTAAGGAATTTTGGTGAGCTGCTGTGTGACAGGGGGTGTTAACCTGCCCTGCCACAGCTCACCAAACTCCCTATGTGGCCCATAGGCTCAAATAATTACCTTTCCCTGGGTTAGTGCAACCCATGTGAATAAGACATATTGTAGTGCCCATTGGGTACTCTCCCTCAGCATCGACACGTTTTTCCAAGTCATGGTAAGTCGCTACATTGCATACATTTTGACTTCTTCACTCCCACAGCTGAACTGTGCTTTTCTTTCACATTTCCAATTATTCCTGATTTTTCACCAACCTTAAATGTCTGGCAAACATCACCTAATGGGGCCCCAAACATTCCCAAAATCTGGCATTCCTCTGTCACCCCCTCTCTCAGGCTGTCACACATGATTAGTGTGGCCCCACCCTCCATGAGGTGGAGCTGGACCAGGTTGCCCCATCTTTTTTTGGAGGATTCTAGGACTCATGACAAGAACATCCAATTCCAGCCATCTTGAGTGAGGGGGCTAATTAGCACATGGATCCTTTCTTGGGGTTATCGGGAGTACACGCACATACTGAGCAGTGCTGAGCTGTGGAGCCATCATGGCTTGAAATGCTGTTGACTCTGCTGGGGCCCAGCCCAATGAACTATATGGTAAATCATAAACTTAGTTCCTTTGAACTAATAACATGCATATTTTGTACTCTAAGTAGGTACAGAAATGCTGCTCAAAAGTGTGTTTATGGAGTACCTATATTAAAATTTGCATCAGTTTCAGAAAAGGCAAAATGCATCAATTCTGGATGAACTAAGTTTATGGGTACTATATGCAAATTGCTACAGCTATTTTTATTTCAAGGTCATTTTTTTCAGATTTGTTCCTCACTTCCCTGTGCTCAGGGAGGGCAGGGTCCAACAGTACGGAGGAGAGAAGGGGCTGCAGAAGGAAGAAGTTGGTGGGGACAGAGGGCAAATGGTGCTACCTGACCCTCCAGATATGTTTTCTCTGCTGTAGCAGTTTGAGGTTGACAAATTCAAGACAAAAACGTCCAATGATTAGATTTTATACCTGGACAATTATATCAAATGTGTAATTTTTCCATATATAGAATCTAATTAGTGGGGGATCATCTTCATAGTATCATAGTAGCTGGGGTCAGGAGGGACCTGAACAGATCATCTAGCCTGACCCCCTGCCATAGGCAGGAATGAATGCTGGGTTCACAAGACCCCAGACAGGTGATCGTCCAACCTCCTCTTGAATATGCCCAAGGTAGGGGTGAGGACCACTTCCCTGGGAAGTTGGTTCCAGATTTTGGCCACCCTAACTGTAAAATATTGCCTTCTGATCTCCAACCTAAACCTATTCTCTATCAGCTTATTACCATTGTTCCTCATCACCCCAGGTGGTGTTGGGGAGACAAGAGCTGTGCCTATTTGCTGTTGACCCCCCTTGATGAGCTTGTAGGCAGCCACCAGGTCCCCCCTCAGCCTCCTCTTTCTGAGGCTGAACTGGTTCAGGTCCTTCAGTCTCTCCTCATAGGGCCTGTCCTGCTGCCCTCTCACCAGGCGGGTGGCCCTCCTCTGAACCCTCTCCAGGCTGGGCACATCCCTTTTGAAGTGCAGCGCCCAGTACTGGACGCAGTACTCCAACTACGGCCTGACCAAAGTCACACAGAGGCGAAGTATCACCTCTCTGGACCGGCTTGAGATGCACCTTTGGATGCATGACAAGGTATGGCTGGCCTTGCTGGCTGCGGTCTGGCATTGGCGGCTCATGTTCATCTTGGAGTCAATAATTTGTCTACGTTGCATTTGTCTACGTTGAACCCCATCCTATTCTCATCTGCCCACTTTTGTAGTCTGTCTAAATCTATTTGCAGCCTCTCCCTCCCTTCAAATGTGTCCACCTTGCCCCACATCTTAGTGTCATCAGCAAACTTGGA